AATCTGATGGTACAGAGGCGCATGCACACTGTGCGTTCAGCTGCCACCAAGAGGAAACAGGCGATGCCGAGGCAGAGGGAGAGCAGCCGCGCTCGGACTAAGGACAGAGCCCAGCTGTCTCAAGAGCTCCCCTGGATGGACTGACTGGGGGCATCCCAGCAGTAGCCCCCATCTCTCCATCCAGCTGTGTAATGAATCTCTGAAAACCTCAGCTGGTCTGTGAGCAGGAGAGCTGGCCAGGTGGAAGGGCATGCCCGACACCCTACAGCCCCTGGTGCAGTGAAGCAGACGGGCCTCCACGGCTGGCACAGGAAGAGCAATCAGCTTCCAGTACGCATCGGCCTCACCGCCGGGCTGGCTTCCTGTCCGTAACGCACATTTCCAGCTGGAGGCTTTCAGGCTGGGTTCCCACATTTAGCCATTCACATTCACACTCTCAGTTTTTGCCATATCTATGTCACCTGTACAACCATTTCTTTAGTATTGACTCGCTTCTGAACTGTAACTTCATATCATCAATGTAAATAAAAAGTGAGTATCATTTATCATAAAAGAAAGACAATTACTATTTTAAAAAATGCAATCGAATATAAACAATGCTATGAAAGCCTGGGTAGATTCGGGGACCAGCCAAGGCTGCTGGGTCTGTTGAAAGGGGAGATTACACACATAGAAAGGGGCTGAAGATACACGGACGCCAGGCTGAGACTTTCTTCTTGGCCTCATCGGGAGGAGAGACTAATGATTCCAAGTTATTTACCAGCCAGTCTACATCCCTTGCTGGGAAATGCTTCCCAGCTCTAACGTGCAGTCACAAAATACAGGACACAAGTTGATATCGGAAGGAAAGTATCTTTTCCTTCTCCACTTCTGAGTTCTTGGTTGGGGGCCCCGTAACAACAAACAGGTTAACAAGAGAAAAGTGAAGAAATTAATTTAAGTTTAATGTGCCTTGGGTACCTTCATAAGGAAATGAAGTGATTGAACCCCAGTGCCTTTTTATTTTTTTGAGACAGGGTCTCACTCTGTCGCCCAGGCTGGAGTGCAGTGGTGTGATACAGCTCACTGCAGCCTCAATCAGCCCTGGCTCAGGTAATCCTCCCACCTCAGCCTCCCTGGTAGTTATGACTAGGATTACAGGGGCACGCTACCACACCCAGCTAATTTTTTTGTATTTTTTGTAGACACAGCCTAGCTGTATTGGCCAGGCTGGTCTCCCATTCCTGGGCTCAAGCGATCTGCCTGCCTCAGCTTCCCAAGATGCTGGGGTCACAGGCATGAACCACTGCGCCCAGCTTGAGTGTGCATCCATGAGATGTGTTGAAGGGTGCAGAATCGTGGAGCTGTGGTGGGACCAGGGAGCCCGAGCAAAGTGCAGGAAACTAGGGAAACAGCAAGGCCTGTCCAGGCTCCTCTCAGTGTCCCCAGGGCTTGGATGTGAGGGTGCCCCTTTCCTCTGGGTGTGGAGTCTGGTGACCTGCTTCAGGGAACAGAGTCCTTCCTGCACCTGTTGTTTCTCAGATTCTTTCCACTTAAAATAGTCAACATGTGAAGCTGCCACATTTTGGGGTAGCGTGCCCTGAACCCCATCATTGGCTACAAGGTCAGGGGTCCCCTGTGAGACACTCTTGGCCCTTGAGACAGTGACACTATGTATTTCATGGAGGCCACTGCTTCAAAGGCCCTCAGATGTGGATTCCTGGGAAACCAAACAGGCTGTCTCCGAGGCTCGAGCGGAATTGATTCCTGACAGCACCAGCCCCACCCACAGTGTCTGTGTGAGTAAATGAAGGAAAGCGTTTTTACAGTAAGTCTTCTTGGAGAGAATTCTCAGGGAGAGAGAATGAGTGAATCAGAATGTTGGATGTTCCCTCTAAAGCCTCTGTTTAAAAACTCAGGGGAAAGCCCAGCAACAGTCATCGCCTGTCCCCAGCTCTGAGGATCAGTGTCTGTCGGGGGCACAGACAGCCTCCCAATTCTGTAGACAAGGAAACTGGTCCAGAGAGATGGCTATCCCACAGACAGCGGCCCACCTAGAGCACCCCCTTCCCAGGGTGACTTTATATTCCCAGGATGCATTCATCAGGGTCTCAGTAGGAAAGAGAGGACACATCCCAGTTGAGTAATAGGAAGAGGATGTTGATGAAGCATTTCTTTTACAGGGGTGTAGGCAGCATACTGGGGCTCTGCGAGGAACAGGCAGCACCCTGGATGCCTCGGGGCTGGTGCAGCAAAGCCTCAGCACCCTCCCCACCTCCTTCCCTCCCGCTCTATCGGGCCCCTGATAGAAGCAGTGAACTCTGCTCCAGGCCTGGCCAGCATAGAGATCCCCAAGAGAGAAGCCAACACCCCATCTTCCCTCTCACCCTGCCTCAGGCTCCTGCTGGGGCTCCCATTGACCAAACCCTAAGAGAAGCCAGAAGGCAAAGAGCCCCGTGGTACCTATAGGGGATCCCGAGTCAGGGGCCTCAGAGAAGTCAGGAGGTGACCTGGAGCAGGACACAGCAGCTCCCTGCCAGGGATCCTCACCCCAGACACACCTCTAGAGCAGATGGAGAAAACAGTTCGGTTGACTTCAGACTCCCAAATTCTCCCAGTTCCTTAACCTGCCTGCCCTCTGGACTTCAGGAGAAAGTTGAGAGGGAAAAGCCCTCAACTTTGTTTTGAAAATGAGAGCAATGTTTATAGCCACTAGCAAGCAGTTAGGATCCAGCTGGGCTGATGTGGCCAGATCTGGGGACACCCTGCAGACCTATAACAGAGGTCAGCGAGGAAACGCTGCACATGTCCCCCATGACTGAGCTGCAAGGACCCGAGTTATCTCTGCAGCAGTCACTGTCATGTAAAAATGAAAGCCACACATGCAGGCTGAGGCCTCTCAGCTGGGCAGTTCAGCCCGTGTGAGACCCATGAGGACAGGAGAGGCTGGTCTTTATTATTCCCCTCTGAATTACCAGCATGTGATAGACCTTCAATAATTAGTTAAATGCTTTTAAAAATGAATGCTCTAGGCCAGGCACAGCTGCTCACATCTGTAATCCCAGCACTTTGGGAGGCCAAGGAGGGTGGATAGCTTGGGGTCAGGAGTTCGAGACCAGCCTGGCCAATGTGGCAAAACCTCATCTCTACTAAAAATAAAGCCAGGCGTGGTGGCAGGTGCCTGTGGTCCCAGCTACTCAGGTGGCTGCAGCAGGAGAATTGCTTGAACCCCCGAGGTGGAGGTTGCGGTGAGCTGAGATCACGCCATTGCACTCCAGCCTGGGTGACAGAGCAAGACTCTGCCTCAAAAGGAAAAAAATGAGTGCTTCAAACACATGATCTCTCACCACCATTGAATTTTCTCTCTATGAGCCCAGGAGGACCCCTCAGAGAGGAAAGCTCGTAGGTCTTTCTTTCCCTCCGCAAAGTCCCCGTCTTGAAGGATCAGAAGGACTGTGCTGCTTGTTGCATCTTTGTGAGTTCCGAACCCTGGTCCCAGCTCTGCTTGGGGATTCGTGGAAACCTTTTCTGGGTGCTCATTACCTTCCACTTCATTTCCTGTTTCCAACTCAGCTTTTTTTTTTTACTGTGTTCGGATTCCCCAAACTGACCATTGTCTGATCTTCACCTCCCAACTGATTCAGGAGAGCTGGGCTTCTGGAAACCCAGGTGCTGGGTATTGCAGAGTGGCTGAAAGCTGGAGGGGGCAGATCTGTGGCTACATTCATGCACGCCCACACACCCCAGGTGCTGGGTATTGCAGAGTGGCTGAAAGCTGGGAGGGGGCAGATCTGTGGCTACATTCATGCACCCCCACACACGCGTGCGCACGCACACACACGCATGTACCACAGCTTTCCACACCCTTCCTAGGCAGAGGTCACCTGGGGATCCTGGAGAGAGTGTGAAGTCTGGAATGGAATGAGAAGGGGTTAAGCCCCATCTCCAGCCATGGATCTGACACAGGTCACCCCCACCCGTCTGCACTGCAAGGCAAGCATACAGCCCATGCCTCCCTCCCTGGATGGGAGTGACGTGAAACTTGAAGCAGGATAGAGACAGTTGTTATCAATGAAAGCCCCTTAGGCAAAAAGGCCCTTTCCACCAGGGGCACAGATGAGGCCCTGGACTGAGAACTTGGCAGCACCTTGTATTGGTAACCAGCCCAAGGACTGGGAATACTCAGCTGTGTCTGTCTCCCTCATTAGTCTCAAAGTCTCTCAAGCATCTGTCTCATCACAGTGCTCCAGTCCAGCCCCTTCTGCTGAGCTCCAGACCCCGCTGGACCCAACTGCCATTCCCATCCCCACCTGCCTGAAATTCTCAAAAGAACCTCACCCTTAACAGCTTTCAGTCTAAACACATGACCTTTTGCCTCTAAATCAGTCCCCCATCTCCGCCTTTGCAGGAGCTGGAAGCCATAACACCAGCCTCACCCCTGTCCTCAGGTCCTCAAGGTCCAACTGAGCACTAGGCCCATCAGGTTTACTCTCTCAACTCCTGTGGAATCCAGCTTCTCAGTCTCCATCATCCCAGGCCTAGGCTAATGGGCTAACTGGCCGCTGCTTCCGCTCTACCCCCACTGCAGTCCGGACGTCCTGAGCAGCAGCCTGCACCTAATCCACATTCACACCGAGCACCCTCCTGACTCAGATATCCCCCTGCACCGCCTTCCCTTCACCCTGTTTAGTTCTGCTCACCCTCAGATGCTATCATCAGTATCCACTCACCCTCGCAGGCTGGTTGGGACCCCATGCTCTATGTTGTCACGGGACCTCTCACTTGATTTCATTGCACTTAGGTCTGTGCAGTTATTAAGTGTGACTGAGCAACGTCTGCCTTCTCCAGTAGACTGTCTGCTCTTCGCCGTTGTGTCTCTAGCATCGCTGGTGGGAGCACGTCACCACTGTGCATTGAGTCAGGGACTCAGCAGTCTCCTTTTCTCCTCCCTGCTGGAGAAGGCGTGTATTTTGCAGCCCCCAGCCCCCATGCCATCTAACCATCTTTTCTTCTCTGTTCAGCCCAGGTGGGGCCTCACTCACATCCCACTCTGAGTCCAGATGTTCTCTCCCTGGAAGATACCAATGTTTCTGTCTGTTCGTGAGGACTCTGCGCCCACCACAGCCTCTTTCAGGTGAGTCGAAGGATTCCTCAGTTTACTTGTTAGGGGTGGGGAGCAGACATCCTGCAAAACTCCCTGGAAAGGTCAGCCCTCATGTCCTGGACAACAGTTGAAGGAATCGGTGAAGTTAAACCCAAAGACAAAACTTCTCAAGTGTTCAAGTCCCTTTAGGCCTTTTGGGGGCAGAGGGGATGTATTGTTCTATGGAACTAGAGGCAGAGGGGCTCAGGGAGGAGAAGGACACATTCCTGGTTGTCATATGTGGTCTATCCCAGCTGAACCTGGAGGTGAAGGTAAGACAGTTAAACATTGAAGTCAAAACCCAGTGGATCAGACAGCAGTTTGCCAGGTTGCCCTGGAGACAAAATATCTCCAACACATGGCTGACATCTGGTGGAAGACCAGAACACTCTACAGAGAGAATTTAAGGGGAGGGGGACCTGATCCAGATTAAAAGCAGATGATAGGGAGATCTGTTCTGGGGGGCAGCGTTTGCAAGAAGCAACAAGGTTGAGGGGTCCACTCCAAACTCTCCATCCTGTGGCAGCTGCAGCCTATGATGAAGATGAGCACAGGGCCATCTCAGCTGGGGCCACAGTGCACTGGACCTATAGTTCCTAATTCCACACTCACCAGGCATATTTCTGACGATCCTACGGCTTCTCAGAGCCAGGAATGGCCTAGGATCCATCCCCTTGGCTATCAATTGTCTTGCTGAGAAATTAAAAAGCAGCGTCTAGTGTGGTCTCTAGTGAGTCAGCCCAGGAGAAATGATCAATTCCCCAAGCCAAGGGCATAAAGGAGATGGATTTTCTGTAACTCCAGAAATAGGGTTGAGGGTTGGACCAAGGGGACTACCCAGGGGAAGTTGTACCTTCAGAGGAGTCTGGAAAGGAGGCTGCGAGTTTTCATGGGTCAAGAATTCGAAGCCCTGTACAGACAGCTTATCTCTGTGCCAAGATGTCTGGGGCCTCGGCCGGAAGATTGAAAGGCAGGGAAACCAGGGTCCACTGAAAGTTTAACTGGGGCCAGAAGATCCACTTTATGACCTAGCTTCAGAAATCACACCATCCCAGCCACCGTTGGTAAGAAGTCCAACCCACAGCCAGGGGAAGAGGAAGCAGATTCCTCCTTTTGGAAGGAAGGGTATCAAATAATTTGGGGGTATCTGAAAGCCACCATGCACCACAGGAATGTTTTCAGAGCATGCCTCTTATGCCATCACCCTAGTCCTTAAGACTCAGGGGCAAAGCCTCACTTCCTTAGCGCCCAGTGAAGACCATGCTTACTCCCTTTCTCAACCTCTTGCTACTCCCCACCTCTCCTGTCCAACATCCAGTGTCACTTTCCAGAACATACCAGCAGCTTCCCCAGTTCTGTGCCTCTGCTCGGGCTGTCCCCCCTGCCTAGTCTGCTTGTCCTCCTTCTTGTCCCCTTTGAAATGCTTCTTGTCCTTCAAGACCCAGACCCAGAGTCACCTTCAACCTTACCCACCTGTCCCTACTTCGAGTCTGTGTCCCACACCCCTCCTGCTCCCTCCAGGGCACCCTCCACACTCTGGGCCACAGTTGTCAGGAGTCGGGCAGGGCAGGAGCTGGGTGGTGCCCTCTCTGTGTTCTTGCACTCAGGGTGGAGCTCAGCACAGAGAAGATGCTCAAGAAACATTTAAAGGATAAAAGCATTGATTTGTGGGCCCCAGTCTGGCTTCAGGATGCCAGCCAGCTGCTCCTAGAAGCAAAGGGGCTTTTCCCCAGAAATCGTGGAAGCAATGAACAGAATCTCTCCCATGACCTGTGGCTCAGCTCTTCCTCCATGAGCCTGGCTAGCAATGGACCTCCCAGAAAGAGCCCTTTTTCCTTCTCTCACCCATACCACCGGGCACTGGGAAAACACCCAGTGAGTCCTACTCTCTGGGCTGTGCTTTGGGCTTTTCAGCGTGTCTTCACATCCACTCTCTGACTTGAATCTTGCAATAGCCACGTAAAAAGAAATGCAAGGCGAGTCAGGATGGGAGCAATGCTCTGCTCCAAAGAAGGCAAAATAGAAGCTCAGAGAGGTCAAGCAATTTGCCCAAGACCACATAGCTAGGATTGGAACCCATGTCTGTCCAACCCCCGTGCCTCTGCTGAAGGTACAGATGAATTAGCCTTAACAGCAACAAGTCTAGAAAGGCGCCTGCCCTGTGGTCTGTGAGCCCTGCCTAAGAATGAAAGAGGAGCCAGTGGGTTAAAGATGAGGTCACTGACAAACAGTGGCGTGTCCCATTGCTTATTTTAGTAGGTTCGCAGGAAGTTACTAACATTTATTGAGCCAAGTGCAGTGCTTGGGGCTTTTTGCACATCGTCTCAAATCCCCATCACAACCCTGAGAAGCAGATGTTTTAATTCCCATTTTACAGGCGAGGTCATTGTGGTTCAGGTATGTTAAGTCACTTCCACAGCTCATAAGTAAGGCAGCCAGGATGTGAACCCAGTGGGACTATTTGCCTCCAAAGCCCCCACCCTCCCTCGCCATCTGCATCCTCCAATCACATTCAGTGCTTTCCTGAGAAGGTATGGAAGTACAATGCCATCCCAGACCCTCCAGGAAGACAGAAACTGGGCAGATGGGCTGGCCGGGGTCTCCAAGCAAGACTGGAATCTCCAGGTCTGGCATGATATCATTTTTCTATTTTAATAAATTAACTCACCCACCACAAGGCTTTGAGAGGCTGAAAGGTGAGCAACTCTTTTGGGAGGGGCCCGGATGATAAGGAAAGAATGTGAATCCTCCCATCACGGAAGCTTCAAGGAGGTCCAGGGTCTAAGATTTGAGATTGTTAGTGCTGCTGATGGATGCTGGCCAAGGAAATATCCCAATGGAGCCTCAAGATGAAGAACATCAGGCCCTCATTTAAATCCAAGGATCAGAGCGGGCTCTGTAAGACCCAGGGGAATCAGGTACGCCTGAACGCTGGCCACCGAAAACAGCCTGAGTTCCACCTCGATTTCTCCATGTGCTGGCTGTCTGTCTTTAACCCCCCTCTCCTTCTGCACCAGGTTTTGTCCTTCCCTTGTGACCCTGATGGGTAACAGCCTCTTCTCCACTTTCTTTCAGTGCCGACATGCTCAATGTCACCTTGCCCACTCTTAATGGGACCTTTGCCCAGAGAAAATGTCCCAACGTGGAGTGGCTGGGCTGGCTCAACACCATCCAGCCCCCTTTCCTCTGGGTGCTGTTTGTCCTGGCCAGCCTAGAGAACATCTTTGTCCTCAGTGTCTTCTGCCTGCACAAGAGCAGCTGCACAGTGGCAGAGATCTACCTGGGGAACCTGGCCGCGGCAGACCTGATCCTGGCCTTCGGGCTGCCCTTCTGGGCCATCACCATCGCCAACAACTTCGACTGGCTCTTTGGGGAGACGCTCTGCCGCGTGGTGAACGCCATTATCTATATGAACCTGTACAGCAGTATCTGTTTCCTGATGCTAGTCAGCATCGACCGCTACCTGGCCCTGGTGAAAACCATGTCCATGGGCCGGATGCGCGGCGTGCGCTGGGCGAAGCTCTACAGCTTGGTGATCTGGGGGTGCACGCTGCTCCTGAGCTCACCCATGCTGGTGTTCCGGACCTTGAAGGAGTATAGCGATGAGGGCCACAATGTCACCGCTTGCGTCATCATCTACCCATCCCGCACCTGGGAGGTGTTCACCAACATGCTCCTGAATGTCGTGGGCTTCCTGCTGCCCCTAATCATCATCACCTTCTGCACGGTACAGATCATGCAGGTGCTGCGGAACAATGAGATGCAGAAGTTCAAGGACATTCAGACAGAGAGGAGGGCCACCATGCTGGTCCTGGTCGTGCTGCTGCTCTTCGTCATCTGCTGGCTGCCCTTCCAGATCAGCACCTTCCTGGACACGCTGCAGCGCCTCAGCCTCCTCTCCAGCTGCCAGGATGAGAGCATCATAGATATCATCACGCAGATCGCCTCCTTCATGGCCTATAGCAACAGCTGCCTCAACCCACTGGTATATGTGATCGTGGGCAAGCGCTTCCGAAAGAAGTCTTGGGAGGTGTACCAGGGAGTGTGCCAGAAAGGGGTCTGCAGGTCAGAACCCATTCCGATGGAGAACTCCATGGGCACACTGCGGACCTCCATCTCAGTGGAACGCCAGATTCACAAAGTGCAGGACTGGGCCGGGAGCAGACGGTGAGTGGATGCCAGCAGGGCTGCTAGGAATTTGTGTAAGGATTGAGGGACTGTTGCTCTTCAGCATGGGCCCAGGAAAGCCAAGGAGACATCCATGCATGACCTTGGGCAATGAGTCGGTGTCTCCAGAAAAACACCGGAGAGTAATTCCTGTCCTGCCCAATTTTGCAGGGAGCATGGCTGTGAGGATGGGGTGAACTCATGTACAGCCAAGGACTCCATAAACACGACAGCATTACTGTTCTTATTTACTGCCACACCCGAGCCAGCCTGCTCCTTCCTAGGAGTGGAGGGGCCCTGGGGGCAGGGAAAGGAGTGACTGAGCTTCCCTCCCACGTGGTGTCCCTCCCTGCCCCAGCAAGACAACTTGGACCTCCAGAAGAACCGCCATCCAGCTTTGGTCCAGTGGCTGAGTGCACACGTGGACCCTAGCTGAATTGCTGCCCTGGGTTTCTTGAATCTGTTCAGCTAGAACTTTGGAGGACGATTTCTCACGTTAGTGGAAGTTAAGCTCTGAGGGGTCCCTGATAAGAACCTGGAGACCAGGATTCTGTGGCTCGCCTCACTGATGGACAAGGTCTGTGCCAAAGAATAATCTAATAAGCACATATTGAGCACTTGCTGTATACACAGTATTGAGCACTTGAAGTATACACAATATGGAGCACTGGAGGCAAGAGGGAAGAAAGAGAAGGAGCCATCTCTGTTTTGAAGGAACTCAAACACTCGAGTGGGAATGACTGGGCGCTGCCACCAGCAGAAGGCTGCTCAATGAGGTGGTCAAGCGGGGTGCTGTGGGCGATATGGAAGGGGGGGAGCCCAAGGTTCCAGCTCAGCCAATAACTATTGCACAGCCACCCATCCCTGCCTCAGTTCCTCTTCTGTAACATGAAGTTATTGTGAAGATGAAAGGTAGTAACAGCTATAAAAATACTTCGAAGTGGCCAGGTGTGGTGGCTCATGCCTGTAATCCCAGCACTTCGGGAGGTCAAGGTGGGCAGATCACAAGGTCAGGAGTTTGAGACCATCCTGGCCAACATAGTGAAACCCTGTTTCTACTAAAAACACATATATATATAATTATATAATTAGCTGAGCCTGTTGGCAGACATCTGTAATCCCAGCTACTTGGGAGGCTGAGGCAGGAGAATCACTTGAACCCGGGAAGTGGAGGTTGCAGTGAGCCAAGATCATGCTACTGCACTCCAGCCCAGAAGACAGTGTGAGACTCCATCTCAAAGAAAAAAGTACTTTGAAAAGTAAAGGGTGCTATGTACATGTGAGGTGTTATTATGCACACGTAACTGTAACTGGGATACGTTTATTATAAGGAAAAGTCACTGAGGTTTGGAAATAGCTCCACGGAGGAGAATCCGTATTGGGAACCGGTGGCAGTGTCTGGCACACAGTAGGTGCTCGATAGCATTGGCTTCCTTCCACCTGTCCTTCCCACCATCCTGCCCCCACCACCACACACACATGAGCTTTTGGGGAGAAGGCCATGTCTTCAAAGTTTGATTTGTGATGAGGCAGAGTAAGAGATTTCTAATCAGACTCACCCAGAGGATCACAGTGCTGAGACCCCCCAACTCCCAGCTGGTACCTGGGGAGGGGGAGAGTGCCGGCCTACTCAGGGACTGTCACTGTCTCAGCAACCAAGGGCTGTCAATCAATGGTTTACTAGAAGGCGGACAGTACGAGCTCTAGAAGAGTGTGAGTAGGAATTGTGGGGGTCACCTTCAGGCACAGACAATGATGGGGCATAAAGGTTATTTACCCCAAAGCATTATTCCCAGAGCAAGCCCCCGCCCACCTGGGGGACTGAAACCCTCAAGGATGAGGACCGTGTCCAGGCTGGGCAGCCTGGGCTTGGGCATGTGTGACTATGAGGAAGCACTCTGGGAACAAGATCCCCACAGGCTGGGAGAAGGCCCTCCCCAAATGGCTTCCAGGCCAATTTCCCATAGACACCCCCTCCTCCGCCCTGCCGCTGGAGAGGTAGGCAGGGGTGGGGTCCAGGTGTCAGGCTGGACCCACATCCTTGGCCACAGGCTGAGACAGCCCTGCCCCCAAGCTCCAGGTCCCCCTGGGGAATTTGTTGCTTTTGCTACATGACTTAAATAATTGCCTCCTGTGGGCAGCACTGTGCCAGGCCCCACAGGGAGATGTAAAGGAACCAACCCCCAGGCTCCAATATCAAGGCACTTACAACCGAGGGAGCTTCATGGCAATGGCGTTCACCATCGACAGTGCCAGGGCAGCACTCGTTCACTTGATAAATGAGTATTTATTAGCTGATTGGAGAGCTGGAACCTGGAGAGCTAGAACCTGGAGGGCTAGAACCTGGAGGGCTAGAACCTGGAAAGCTAGAACCTGGAGAGCTAGAACCTGGAGGGCTAGAACCTGGAAAGCTAGAACCTGGAGAGCTAGAACCTGGAGGGCTAGAACCTGGAGAGCTAGAACCTGGAGGGCTAGAACCTGGAGAGCTAGAACCTGGAGGGCTAGAACCTGGAGAGCTAGAACCTAGAGGGCTAGAACCTGGAGAGCTAGAACCTGGAGAGCTAGAACCTGGAGGGCTAGAACCTGGAGGGCTAGAACCTGGAGAGCTAGAACCTGGAGAGCTAGAACCTGGAGGGCTAGAACCTGGAGAGCTAGAACCTGGAGAGCTAGAACCTGGAGGGCTAGAACCTGGAGAGCTAGAACCTAGAGGGCTAGAACCTGGAGAGCTAGAACCTGGAAGGCTAGAACCTGGAGAGCTAGAATCTAGAGGGCAAGAATCCAGAGCAGCTGAAACCTGGAGAGGCTATAACCTGGAGAGTTAGAACCTGAGGGCTAGAACCTGGGGGTTAGAATTTGGAGAGCTAGAACCTGGAAGGCTAGAACCTAGAGGGCTAGAACCTGGAGGGCAAGAATCTAGAGCAGCTGAAACCTGGAGAGGCTAGAACCTAGAGGGCTAGAACCTGGAGAGCTAGAACCTAGAGGGCTAGAACCTGGAGAGCTAGAACCTGGAGAGCTAGAACCTAGAGGGCTAGAACCTGGAGAGCTAGAACCTGGAGAGCTAGAACCTAGAGGGCTAGAACCTGGAGGGCAAGAATCTAGAGCAGCTGAAACCTGGAGAGGCTAGAACCTAGAGGGCTAGAACCTGGAGAGCTAGAACCTAGAGGGCTAGAACCTGGAGAGCTAGAACCTGGAGAGCTAGAACCTAGAGGGCTAGAACCTGGAGAGCTAGAACCTGGAGAGCTAGAACCTAGAGGGCTAGAACCTGGAGAGCTAGAACCTAGAGGGCTAGAACCTGGAGAGCTAGAACCTGGAGGGCTAGAACCTGGAGGGCAAGAATCTAGAGCAGCTGAAACCTGGAGAGGCTATAACCTGGAGACTTAGAACCTGAGGGCTAGAACCTGGGGGTTAGAATTTGGAGAGCTAGAACCTGGAAGGCTAGAACCTGAAGGACTGGAATCTGGAGAGCTAGAACCTAGAGGGGCTAGAACCTGGATAGAACCTGGAGAGCTAGAGCCTGGAGGATGGTAAGAATTTACATGGCAAAGAGTCCATAAATCCTGACCAAGCCAACTCTGAGTTTTAAAGCAAAAGTGTCAAAAGAAATTCCCTCCCCACTCCCAAGCCACTCTTTTCTCCTACCACCCACACCCTTCTGCCCCAATAAATAGCTGGAGAACTAAAACAGGTGAAATAAGAAGTAAAAACCACTCAGTATTAGAATGAAGTCAACCTGTGCCACACATTGTGAATGAAGAAAAAAAGGAGGCTGCGTTTCGTCACGGTTGGCAGTCATTCATCAGCAGAGCGCGTGATGCCTGAGACTCTCGTAGGAGCGGAGCTATGCTCCAACAGCCACGTGGGGATCCACATCTGGTCTGAGGGGCAACGGAGCCTGTGGGAGAGGAGCTGCCCTGTGCATGGTGGAGATGCCTGATAAAGAACATCTGCCCTGTGAAAGACTCAAAGAGCTGTGATGTAAAGAGGAAGCATTTCACATCCGAATGAGAAAATGGGTGAATCATGTAAACATGTGTCTTTTCTGTGCCGCGTAATAAATGGATGAGGATTTTGCATGTCTCTAGCATTTGTTACAACTCCAGAAAACCCCGAGTTTGGTCCCTGGGACGCTGCCTTGCACACTCAGAAGCCTTTGGGGAGGAGTGCTATTTATTTCTGCTCAACCTATTAACAGGCTTCTGGCATGGAGATCAGTGGTCTCCAAGCTTTTGTGATTGTATATTCCTACAGGAAAAAAAATTGATTATGCATACCCAATACGTATACTTACTAATATGTATGAAGATGTACATTCTAAAATATAACCAACCAGTAGAAATTTAAGAAAGAAGATATAAAAAATGCTAACGATGCTTGAATATTTCCTTCCATCTTGAAACATTTCTACAGGAATAACTCATTACCAAGTTCCCACCAGGTGCTTGTGGGACCCTCATGAGGCCCTAGAATCACAGGTGCAGCAGTGATTCAGTCATTGATTCATGCAGTATAGATTTATTGAGGGCCTACTGCTCGACTTTCCCTTCAAATTGGGAGCATCCTCTACAATGTCCTGATGAAAAGCCACTGTTTTCATACTCTCAGTGATGGGGAACTCATTATCCATTCCATTTTGGGATCCCTTCATTATTCATGTATTCATTCCTTCACTCATTCAGTAAACAAAACTTGCCTGGTCTGTCTCCATAAATGTCCCTCCTCCATCCATTCATTGATCCATCCATCCATACCAAAACCTGGGGCTCATGGTTCAATGTACCTTCTCCTTCATCCCTTCCACCTAGTGGGGCAGCATCTCTTTTTTTTTTTCACTTCTATTTTAAGTTCAGGGGAACATGTGCAGGTTTTTGGGTCATGGGGCTTTGTTGTGCAGATATTTCATCCCCCAGGCATTAAGCCTAGTACCCATGAGTCATGTTTCCCTGTCCTCTCCCTCCTCCAACCCCCACACCCTCCACTAGGCCTCAGTGTCTGTTGTTCCCTTCTTTGTGTTCATGAATTGTCATCATTTAACTCCCACTTATAAATGAGAACATGAGGTATTTGGTTTTCTGTTCCCGGGTGAGTTTGCTTATAAGAATGGCCTCCAGCTCCATCCATGTTTCCACAGAGGACACGATCTCATTCATTTTTATGGCTGCGTAGTATTTCATGTATATGTACCACATTTTCTTTATCCAATTTACCATTGATGGGCATTTAGATTAAAACCATGCCTTTGCTATTGCAAATAGTGTTGCAATGAACATTCATGTGCATGTGTACTTATGATAGAATGATTTACATTTATTTGGGTATATGCTCAGTAATGGGATCAGCACCTCTATTAGATTCTACTAAGTGTCTCCTAGATCTATGTTTCTTTCAATGTCCAACCATCGTCTCTCATGGGCGCCTCCAATACTAATCACTATCATCTTACAATTCTTATTCTCCACTCTGCAGCCAATGTGGTCTTTTAAGAATACAAATACAACCGGGCGTGGTGGTTCACTCCTGTAATCCCAGCACTTTGGGAGGCCAAGGTGGGCAGATCAGAAGGTCAAGAGATCGAGACCATCCTGGCCAATATGCTGAAACCCTGTCTCTACTAAAAATACAAAAAATAGCTGGGCTTGGTGGCAGGCGCCTGTAGTCCCAGCTACTCAGGAGGCTGAGGCAGGATAATTGCTTGAACCCAGGAGGGAGAGATTGCAGGGAGCCAAGATCATGCCACTGCACTCCAGCCTGGCGACAGAGCAAGACTCCGTCTCAGAAAAACAAACAAACAAAAAAAGAAGATAAATACATTCACGGGGAGGCTGTAGAGAACTGTGTCCAGGAGCCAAGCCTTTGGGACTAGGCAGACCTGGATTCCACTTGTGGTTCTGCCCTGGGCTTTTATTTGCTGTGTAGTCTTGGGTACCTCAGTTATCCTTTCTGAGTCAACGTTTCCTCGTCTATAAAATGTGTAAAATAGGGATAATAATGGTATCTACTTCATATTAACCACTGTTAATAGGATTAATGTATGAAAGCAGCCAGCACAGCGCCTGGACCATAGTTGGCACTGAACATCCTAGCTTTGCTGCTGCTGCTGCTGCTGCTGCTGCTGATGATGATGATGATGTTGGCAGTGAGTGTGATGGGGGCATCCTCCAAGGGAAACCCTTCAATAGTGTCCCACCCCTCTTGGGGTAAGGTTCTACAGCTCTAACATGGCTTGCAAGACCTTCATGACCTGGCCCCTGTCTGGTCGGTCTCTCGCCTCTCGCCTCTCGCCTCTCGCCTCTCGCCTCTCGCCTCTCGCCTCTCGCCTCTCGCCTCTCCCTCTCCCTCTCTCTCTGCTCCAGGCTCATTCTCTACCCTCCAGCCATTTGGATGCAAGATCCTAGACAGATCCCAGAATATATTTCACTCCTCCTCCAGTGCCCATTCTTCCCACCCAGCCTGCATGCCCTCACTAAGTGCTCTGAGCTTGGAGGAAGCTGTCCACAAGTGCCCAAGGGAGCTCACTCATCAAGGGAATTTTGTTCACAGATCCCTGCATTACTCAAAGGAGGCTACAATCCAGGGGAAAATACATGCCTGGAAACCGGAGCAGGGCTCCTGGCAGGCAAAAAAGGGGGAGCTGGGAGAGCCTCTCCTCTCCTCATTCTACCCCAGCCAGGCAACAGGAGCAGCCCCTCAACTCCTGACCCTCCCTGGCTCCAGCAAGCTGGCACAATGGGGAGAAGCACAGGTGGGCTTAGAGGACCAAGCAAGGGACCTAGCTCCTGAGACTTCCCTGGCCAGAGAGGGGTGAGAACATGATGCAGAGATGCAAACTGGACACGAGATGATCTCATGGAGATGCTGGAGCTGCTGGAGCACAGCCTTCGTGACTCAGAGTGGGCGTGTCTCTGTTGTAGACCCCAGCCATGTGCTGCATCATCTCTGTTACCCAATTCCTGACCCTCACGCAGCTCTGATCCTTCACCAAGAATGCGGGTGGGGAGCAGATCCCCACCAAGCAACAGAGGTCACAGTTTGGCCATAGCAATGGCTAAAAGTTTAATCGTTTCATTGCTTGTTCATGAGAGTTTTATTCTGGTTTTAGTTTTTTGTTTTATTTTGTTTTGTTGGCTGAGGCAAAATAGTCCTAGGTCAAAGGTACCCATCAAAATGTTTCATGCTCACAACCAGTCGGAGTTTGCACGATAACTGGTTCATGGTATGGAAACTGAGGCCCAGAGAGGGAAGTAACTTGCCAAGGCCATGCAAGCCTTAAGGAGGGTGCTCCAGAAGCTCTCTGTGTTCTCGGGCTGTCCATGCCTTGACAATCTGAGGATGCAAATTCTGTCACAAGAAAAGTCCTCGAAGTCCCTTCTTGCATGAGGAGCTTATAAGCCAGGGGTTGGGCTATTTCTGCCACCATAAAAGCTTTGCATCTTGTAGGCCTTCTGCATGCTTGCTTCCTGCAGATCACCTTCACAGAGGCTGGTGGATGTAATTCACATGCTACAGTTCACCCACTTCAGCTTTTACTTATTAACCCATTCATTCACCCATCACTACTATCTAATTCCAGGACACTTTCATCATCCCCCACACAAATCCCATATTCATTAGCAGTCATGTCCCATTCTTCCCTCCGCATGGCTTGGGGAAAACCGCTCATCTTCCTGACTCTAGATTTACCTGTTGTGAAAGAAGCCAGGCACACGTTGTAGGATCCTGTCTCTGTGGAGCCTACCACAGGTGGCTTTTGCGTCTGGCTCCTTTTACCACCTCACACTGAGCTAGAATGTTTAATTGTTGGGGGAGAACTTTGGGGACCAGATCACGAATTCTTTTTTTTTTTTTTTTTAAATATGGAACGATTCACGAATTTGCGTGTCTCCTTGCGCAGGGGCCATGCTAATCTTCTCTGTATCGTTCCAATTTTAGTATATGTGCTGCCGAAGCGAGCACCCACGGGTTCTTTACCATGCCACTTCTGTGATCTCAGCAAGCCACTTTACTCTTCTCCCCTTCTGCTACCTTTGGCCTTAGTTTTCTCATCTGTCAGATGGAGAGATAATAAGTCACGACTCTAACAGGCTTCTGGCATGTAGATCGGGGTCTCCAAGGGCTGCCATGTGTCATGTTGGTGCGAAGGCCCCAGCACCAACAGACAGGGGCTTGGAGGCAGTTCCTGGTTCACGTCTCACCTCTGCCACTTCACAGCTATGGAAATTTGAACAAGATCAGTTGATTTATCTGAGTGTCTCTTTTCTCATCTACTAAATGAAGAGCCAAGTACTGTGAAGATTCAGTGAGATAAAGATGTTATGGGTTGAAGAGAATCCCTCCACCCCAACTCATGTCCACATGGAACTTAAGAATATGACCTGATTTAGGAATAGGGTCTTTGCAGAAGCAGGTAAATTAAGACGAGGTTACACGGTTGAGCATTCCCAATCCAACACTCTGAAATCAGAAATGCCCCCAAATCCACAATATGTTGAGCACTGACATGATGCTCGAAGAGTATTTTAGGATTAAGGATGATTAGCTGGTATGTGTTCTGCAAACATTCCAAAATCTGAAAACATTCAAAATCCAAAACACACACTTCTGGTCCAAGCGCTTGTGGATAAGGGATACCCAACCTGTACTGGGTTAAGGTGACCCCTAAATCCAATAACTGGTGTCCTTATAAGAAGAGGAGAAAACACAGAGACACAGAGAGAAGGCCATAAGGAGATGAGGCAGAGACTGGAGCAATGCTTCCACAAGCCAAGAAATGTGAAGGATTGCCAGAACCACAGGAAGTCAAGCAAAAACAAGGCGTGGCTTCAGACCCTCCAGGGGAGTCAACCCTGCCAACACCTAGATTTTGGCCTTTTGACCTCCAGAACTGTGAGAAGAAGAATGTTCATTGTTTGGGCCACTTAGATTTGGATACTTTGTATGGCAGCCTGAGCAAATGGACGCAGGTGTTTTAGTCCTTATGAGCATGTGAGCGAATGGACGCTGGTGTTTTAGACCTTATGAGCATGTGAGCGAATGGACGCAGGTGTTTTAGTTGTTTTGAGCATGTGCTCACTATGAG